TCTGTTTGGCGAAGTGGAAAAAATCACTTTTTCCAAATAAGTGCTTTTTCAATAAGCACTTTTTTAATAATCACTTTTCTGGAAGCGCTTTTTATCTCTCTCTCAGTTGCCTTGAAATAAGAACGGATATTACCGGTTAAGCCAAAATGTCCGAAATGAGTCGGAAGTTGGTTTCGGAGCAATCTGTTACCCTCCCGACATACCAGATGATGACATTGGCTCTGAGGGTGTCGGAAAAAACTAACCGATAAAATTGTCGCTTTTGTTCATTTTGCAGGTTCGAAGAGCTAATCGGAAAAGTCGGAGAATCGGGAAGAAGACTCTTAGAACAAATAGAAATATTTTAGGCAATTTAGGATTTTTTAGAAAAAGAAAAACGTAATTTATCTTTTCGTAAGTTTATTTATTTATTATTATTTTTTGATATCGTAAAGACAATTATTTTTTATATAATAAAATTATTCCATTTAGAGTAATGAAATAATATTATTACTATTATTTTCTTTTGATATGCAAATAAAATGAAAAAACCATTATTATAATGTATGCTTTTGTTTTTAAAAATGAAATGAGAACAATATTAAAAAAATGAAACAAAATTAATTTAAAAATAAAATGAGAACAATATTAAAAAATGAAATAACATTGGTTTAAAAATGAAATGAAAACACCAATAAAATTTTATTTTTTATTAATTCAAAATTCATCTGATTCATCCGATTGATCTCGTCTCCGATACAACTTCCGATTAATCCTTCCGGCAATTTAAATGAACAAGTTTATCAGAATAAATCCAATTTGTTCGATTAAATTCACATGACCCCACTTTTCCGACTAACTTTATCCAAATAAATTGAATTGGTTTAATTTCAACGGCTCAAATCCTTCACGATTAAATTCCAATTACGATCTCGGCCTTGATTCACATCAATAATATTAAATGGCTCCAATTTCCTGACTACAACCCAGATTCAAAAATTGACAGCCAGCTGCACGCAAATGACCGTTTTACCCTTCATAAGCTAAAGCGCACAAATGCGACTTTTTCTGCAAAAATCAACCAACTACACAAACCTGTTAGCGGTTAGCTAAAATGCGATGCAAAACGAAATGGGGTGTAAAATGAAACTACTAAATCTCAGGGCAAAATTTGGAGTATTGCACATGGATTCAAGTATAACAACACATGTTAACACAAATCAATAAACCACAATTTAGAATTTCATCATATAACACATTATCAAACGAAAAATAGAATCCTAATGAGATTAAGGACTTCTCATCTCTACCCCCATCATGCAATACACCTATATTGAATGTCCCCCTTACCTTAGATTTACAGCAATTGATGATGAATCAAGCAATCTTTATGGTTCCTTCTTCAAAATCCTAGCTTTTGCTCTTTCTCCCTTTTGCCTCTTTTATACGTATATCTGATGTTTCCTCTAAAACCTAGATTTATCCCTATTTTTAGAATATATAGTCCCTCACCACTCTGTTTAATTATGAATTTTACCCAACTCAATACCAGCTTCTCTAATCCCACCACTTATTTCTTTCAATTCTCACAAATTGCCAAATTATATCATTTTATTATTTAAATTATTTAATTCAAATAAAATTCTATTTATTCTAATAATTAATTAAAATTCTAATTAATTCTAAACAAATATATCAAGATCTTACTCTCTCTATACCTCTACTTCAAGGATACTTATCCCCAAAACCACACAGCAAATAAATTAAAACACCAATTAATCAAATAAAATACTAAATAATTCAATTAAATTAATTAATCAATTTTGGGATGTTACAACTCTCCCCCACTTAGAAATTTTTTTCGTCCTAAAAAATTACCTGAAGGAAATAGAGTTAGATACAACTATTTCATCTGACTCTCCAGCTCATATGTTATGCTTTCACCAGTTGGTCCTCGTCACACTACCTTCACCAAGACAATCCCTTTACTACACAACTACTTCACTTTTCGATCCTCTATCTGCATGGGCGATATCTCAACAGTCAGGTTCTTTCTCACCTGTATATCTTGGATCATATGAGACGAATCTAGAATGTATCTCCTCAACTGATACACATGAAACACATCATGAAGATTAACAAGCAGCGGTGGCAAGGAAATCCGATAGATCGCCTCTCCTATTTTCTGCAAGATATGGTATAGACCAAAAAATGTGGCATGAGCTTTCGAGACTTCAAGGCTCGACCAACACTGGTTACTGGGGTAAGTATAAAAAACACATGGTTCCCCTCTTGAACTTAAGTGTCTTCCTCCTCTTATCATGGTAACTCTTATGGTGACTCTATGAAGCTTTCATCTTCACTTGGATCATCTTGATCTTCTCAAATGTTTGTTGCACAATCTCATGTCCAATTACTACACTCTCACCAAATTCGTACCAACACAGAGGTGTCCTAGACCTCTTACCATACAACGCCTCAAACGGGGTCATTCTAATACTCGAATGAAAACTGTTATTGTAAGTAAATTCAATCAGCGGTAAGTAGTTATCCCAAACACCTCTTTGTTTTAGTATATAAGGAAATTTTGAGTTTCTTCTTCTCACTGTTTTCCTTCTTCCTCTTTCTTTTTTGGTTCAATGTTTGAGTTTGAATCTTTTGATGATATTGTTAGGGTTGTGAATGTATTATTATGTATGATTGTTGTGGTTGAATGAGAGAAAGAAAGTAGTAAAGATGTTGTTATGGTTGTTGATGACGGTTCAATTTGTAAAAGATGAAGATGAAGGTTGCTAAGGTGATGTTAAATGGCGTGAATGATCAATGGAGATTGAAGGAAATTGTATGAAGATGGTGGTGGTATGTTGCGTTTGAGATTATTGATTGAAGGTTTGAATGTAGTGGCTGTGTAGGTGATGATGAGGAGTTTGGTTGGTGAAATTAAGTGAAGGAAAGATTGAAAGAATATGATTGGTGGAATTTCTACGTGTTAACCTCCAAAATCAATTTTGGGAAGAAAATTGGAAAGATTGAAAGAATATGATTGGTGGAATTTCTACGTGTTAACCTCCAAAATCAATTTTGGGAAGAAAATTACAGAAAACTAAAAAGAATCTGGAAGCTAGAAAAGAAAACACTATTTTGTCAACTCAACTGTCACGAGTATAAAAATAAACGTCGTTTAAGAAAAATAGACAGAACGACTCACGTGGCTATATTTTAAGAGTTAAAGGATTCATTTGATCTTTTTAAAACTTAAGAGATCAAAATGAATCATGATGTAAAGTTAAGAAAGTAAAAAGTCTTATTTTGCCAAATAAAAATTATTTTAGAAATTAATTGTCTCTAATACACACCATTTATTTTAAAAAAAATACTAACATGTTCTCTAAGAAAATAAATATATACATTTTATTTTATAAATTGTGTATTAACTTTTCAAAATTAAAAGTTGACTTTTTTCAAAACACAATTTTCTAATTTTTAAATTTTTTTAACTCGTGTCTTTAAAATATACCCCCCTTTTTTTTCCCTCTTAATTTATATCCTTACAGTACAATTTAACAATACACTTTATTCTTTTACAAAATAGTCTAAAATATACATCAATTTCAAAGAAAATTAAGTACTATGCAAATACTAAAGTTTTGTTGCTAAGTTATCACTTATTGTCTAAAATATACATCAATTTCAAAGAAAATTAAGTACTATGCAAATACTAAAATTTTGTCGCTAAGTTATCACTTATTATTGTAAATAGCCCTTTATAGTACTACTAGCTTAAAACTAGAATTAGAACAAATTAATTCCTTTACAGTAACGCAAAACTTTTCTAAAATTAAAAGCACAATAAGTATAATTAGTAAAAACAACAATATTTTTCATGTTGATAATAATATGAAATTTGCCTCAAAATCGAAGTTATTGAGGATCCTAGGACAAAACCTATCTCGTCCAAAAGCTATAAACTTTTGTTAGATTTTAATCATGCAAAACAAAATCCAGATGTCATAAATTGTCAAAACATCAATCTCTGATATCTAAGAAAAGTCATGTTTCGTAAACTATATTAAATATATAACGTTTGAGCGAAGTTTAAAACAACAAATCAGAGTGGCGCAGCGGAAGCGTGGTGGGCCCATAACCCACAGGTCCCTGGATCGAAACCAGGCTCTGATATGATTTGTATTTTTAAATTTTTCCTATAAACGACATGTATATCACCGTTTACAATAAGACGAGTGTCGTTTAGGAAAGTCAATGAATTTTCGGGTACAACTGTCGTTTACGGCATGTAACTACACTAAATTTTGACACATAATAGATAATACTATACACATATTTTTTTTTGACGGGATACTATACACATTAATTACAACAATTTCACCATTTTTTTTTCTGTGTGTGGAGAATTATCATATACAACAACACTTCTCTTCAAAATAATATAAGAAATAGAATAATTTGCAATGCCAAAATTGAATTCCATAACAAAAAAAAAAGTTAGACATGTTAAGTATTTATATTTCCCAAAAGAATAATGAATATGAATTAATATATCAAGAAATATGAATTTTAAGATTGATCTAACATTTAAAATATTGTAGGAGATATGATTATAAAATGATATAATTGTTATTAATATAATATAATCAAGAGATATGAATTTTAAGATTGGTCTAAACATTTAAAATATCGTAGGAGATATGATATAAAATGATATAATTGTTGAGTTTAATGCAAGTTATCTTAATAGAAGTTAGTTATGCTAATAGTAGACACTTAAAGCTAGTTTGCTTTGATTTTTAGTTGGTTAATAGACACTTACTTGCGGAGCAAGTGACAACTACATTGTATATAAACAACTCTTATAGTTCAATCTAATTACAATCTTCTTTTTCACTCTCATAATTCCTCTCAATCACTCTCATCTTCTTTTCTTCAAAACTGATATTTCCAACAAATTGATATCCATAGCTTTGTTGACCCTAGGAAACTCAAGTGATTAAGAGATATAAATCATGGTGGATCATGGAAATTTTGTAACACACATTCTTGTTCTTGATGGCGAGAATTCGAACAAATTGACGAGTCAAATGAAGGTGATCTTTGGTGTACAAGATATTTGTGATATGGTGGAAACAAGTGTTGAAGCTTCATTCGAAAATGCAACTGTGGTACAAAGGAAAACTCACAAGGAAGACGATAAAATAGATTGTAATGCTCCATTCCGCATTCATCAGAGTGTTGAAAACTACGTATGGGTTAATTTGTTTTATGAAACGATTGGCGGTAGAACGGACTAAACAATGTTCTTTTTAAAAAGGTTTTCGATCGTAATGGGGGCGAGAAAATAGGTTTGATGCGTTGAATTATTCTTTAAAAGCAGCAAGGCGTGCACCTTCCATTCCCTTTTTGTCCAATTTTGATATTTTGGAAATTGTTTATGGATGACGAATATTCGTAGTAGCGAGACGTACACCTCCTACTTACTCATTCAAGGAGCAACAAGGCGTGTGTCAATCACTCACTTACTCGAGGAACAACAAGACGTGTGCCTCCTGTTCCCTTTTCTACCTAGTTTTAATTGTGAACAGATTTTAATGTTATGTTTGATTCGGGGAAATGTTTGATTCACATCGATACGAAATTAATTGAAGTAAATGAGCTTTTAAAAAGTCGCCACTTGACGTTGAATCAAGAGTTTTAAAAATCCACTTGGTGTTAGATCAAAGATTTTAATTGTATTTGAAAATATTCACTTAGTTATTTATCTATATTTATTATTATTGCTATTTGTTTATTTGATTAATTGCAATAATTAAAGAAATAAATACATAAGACTAATAATAATAATAAAAATTAATGTGTTTTTAATTTGAAAAAATATTTACTTATTATATTATTGTTTATTATTATTATTATTATTATCTATTTATTTAACTAATTAGTAATTAAATTAAATTAATAAAAAAAACAAATAAATGGGGGTGAAAGAGAAATAATGAGATTGTGGGATCAACAAACATGGGTAGCCTAAGGTCCGATGAAAGCTCCACAAATAAAACTATAAAAAACTCAATAAAAAACATGTAGAAAAAAGGGTGTGAAAAGTTAGGCCCAATAGGAGAAGGGCCCAAGTGCCGGTCAAGGGTCCAATACACCAAGAGAGGAGTCAATAACTATTAACTCAACTTCATTTATTGGATGAGAGGACCAACCGATCAAAGGGGAGTACACACGCTAGTACATGATAGCATGGTGGGGATATGCACGTAAAATCAGATATTGCTATTTGTTTATTTGATTAATTGCAATAATTAAAGAAATAAATACATAAGACTAATAATAATAATAAAAATTAATGTGTTTTTAATTTGAAAAAATATTTACTTATTATATTATTGTTTATTATTATTATTATTATTATCTATTTATTTAACTAATTAGTAATTAAATTAAATTAATAAAAAAAACAAATAAATGGGGGTGAAAGAGAAATAATGAGATTGTGGGATCAACAAACATGGGTAGCCTAAGGTCCGATGAAAGCTCCACAAATAAAACTATAAAAAACTCAATAAAAAACATGTAGAAAAAAGGGTGTGAAAAGTTAGGCCCAATAGGAGAAGGGCCCAAGTGCCGGTCAAGGGTCCAATACACCAAGAGAGGAGTCAATAACTATTAACTCAACTTCATTTATTGGATGAGAGGACCAACCGATCAAAGGGGAGTACACACGCTAGTACATGATAGCATGGTGGGGATATGCACGTAAAATCAGATGAAAGCTGGGGGAACTCCACTAGATTAGTGGCTTATGATGAACCACTTGGCAAGATCAAGTGCGCCATTTGTCTGCCAACTAAACAACAAAAAATTGAGACAAAAGAGGACACCCTCATGTCTGCGAGTGCTAAGTAATGCTAATTACAAATTCAACCGGGTTTTGAATGATGTCAAACAAGGAACAAGATACTATAGTACATCGTAAGTCTTTTGTATATTGGATGGTATCAACCTACATTTAGATGCACATTTATCCCCTTAGCCTTAGGATGCATGAAAAGAGTCTCTAAACAAGTTTTACTGGTCTTAAGCATCTCATACACACCAAAAATCTTGTTTGTATGTCAAAACAACATTATAGGTCGATCTATACGTGATTAGGCCGACCTATAGAAGCCTCAACTTCAGTATAGGTCGGCACATCCATGTTTTAGGTTGGCTCCCACGCTCTAAGAACGAAGCCTGTAGATTCTATCCACAGGTCGCATTTCAAGTCGCCTCACAGGCCGACCTAAACACCTTCGTAGGCCGACCTATGACTCTCATAAGTGGACCTATGCAATTTAAAACTTGAAAAATTCCTTTTGCATCCTATTTTTCTTGCATCCTTTTGCCCATTTTCTTCACATACATATACTCATGCATGCATCTTCTTCTAGGAAAATGTTTCATAGTGAATAAAATGTAAACGAAACCAGATTACAAAGTTGCCCATAATCTTCATCCCTTCTGTTGTTATGCATACATACAATTGAACTACACATAATCATTTTTCGATAAGTGACCATCTAGATTAGGATTGATAATGTCCAATTAGGTTTAGTGTAACCGAGAATATTAGGTTGAAGGCTTTGTATGTTTCAAATAAGAAAACCAAGGCGAAATCAAGATCGGGTTGATTTGAAGGTTTTGGACAAGATCACGTCAACACATATTCGACCGATTGAAAGTCTTGGGACAAGGTAGTTTCCTTGCAAGGAAGCAGCGTAAGACGGTGAATTGTGTTCAAGGATCTTGGGTTTCAATAAGTTGTGTGCTCGGGATAATCAGAGGATTGTAGCTGTATTATTCGTCACTTGATCTAACTTTGATCAAGGGTTTAGAGGTGGAAGAGTCAACACAAAATAATAGGGTTTTAGGTTTTGTATTCTTCATCTCATGTATAAATGATTTTGCAAAGAAAAGGTTAATAACAATATCTCAATTCTATTTTGGATTGAGGACAAACGTACCTATAGCGAAGCCAATTGGGGAACTGCCCAAACAAATCTTGGCCTCTCTCTCTTTAATTGTTGATTTCGCAATTTATCAAGTTCGTCGTTGTTTGATCAATTCGATTAAAAATTGTTTTTTACTATCTTTAAGGTGTTATTGTTGATATAACCACTATCACTTTGATTGTGATTGGTTTTTAACATCAACAAAATGAATTATATTTCCAATCGTTATAGATTGCACACCAAGCGTTCGATAAATTATTTGTGTGTATTTTGTTTGTATTTTGGTTTATTGGATATACGAGTTATGATTAGAATTGCATTTAATTGATTCATAGCTTGATTGGTGTTGAACATTTAGGTTTGTTATCACTCTGTTTGGTTTGCGATACGAATGTTGCTTTTCGATAGTAGGTTTGGTTAGACGATTTGATCCGGGCTGTTTTTCCGCTGCACCACATTTTGAAAACAGATTTTTGCCAAAAGTTTTTGGTTGTAAAATTTGTGATCTATTCACCCCCTCTAGATTGAAGTCTATTCACCCCCAAGAGTGGTTACTCAAGAATTCAAGGAGTGCGAGACTCCAAGAACTCAGTTCTTGCGTACTTTAATTAAGAAAATAGTTTGAATTTGACGATAATACTCGATATGAATCGAGGTTTGAAATTGAGTTTTAACGTGTGCACTAGCAAAGTCGGCTAGTCTTCTAAGTGACCAACTAGAAATAATTGATCAAATAGGTGTCACTGTAAGGAAGCCCAGGATTAAGCTTTAAAATGTTGTGTATGGTGATCAAAGGTTGATGGCGAGACTTTGAAAGCACTCGACTTACAATGGTAGAAAATGGCTCGATTAATCGAGAATTATTTTTGAAAATGGTTTTAAAGTATTAAAGCAATCAAGATAAAAATACTAAACTTATTACATTTTGTGGAATGGGAATACATTTGTAGAATGAGGAGGAAGGTAATACAAGTTCAAGCACATAAAGTAAATCAAACCGAGTTGGTCACAATGCGCTCCAAATCCAACTTGTATTTAAAAGCAACACGGATAATGTAATATGCATGAACCATAACGCGGCGAGGTTTGTAATTGATGGGTAAGAATTTTGGTGGTATAACGGTATGAGATTATCGAATCCAAAGGTCAAAGTCCTATTTTGAACTTAATAAAATTAATCCTAAACAACCAATAACTCAAGAACTCGAAAATAATGGATATACTTAGCATTTGGTTTTAAGGCCCGCTTTACAATTCTAGCAATAGCTTAAGATAACATTAACATAATAAATTATTAAAAGAAAGCAAGAATAGATAAAAAAAATTAACAATTGTGAGTAAACAAAAAGAAAAGAATTATCACTTCCTAATTGCCATTTTCAAAATGCAGTGTTTCAAGTTAACTCTCTGTATTTCTTATGATAATAATCACTAGTGATTTAATATGAGTCAAAATGAAAACAAGAATAAAATGGAAAGGAAAATCAAGAAAGAAAAGTCAAACAAAACAATACACATCATATGTTAGTGGTTGCTGACATTATCATACCATTTGCATAAATATTTCCATTCAACAGTATCAAGCAAAAAGACATGCTAACACCACGTAAAAAAAAAGGAAAAAGTGACATTATCATAAAGCTTTGCAAAGAATTATTAAGAACATGAATTAAAGCTTTACAAAACAGGTCAGCAACACAGCAAATCAAATGACTTTCTCACTTCACGTAGTTCGACGTCACAGTCATATATGAAAGCATGAAAACCATATGAAAACTAAACATAAATAGTTTACCCAGGAAAATAATAGCAGGACAGATCTAAATTCAATTAAAATCGAAATTCAAACCCGAGTACTAAATATTATACAACCATAGCCGAACCGACATTGGATAAACAACAACAGTCACTTAAACCAGTTAGTATTTACAAATCAATCAAAACAGATACAGTCTCGAAAGGTATACTGCAGTAGGCACGAGATACGATTAAATCGAAATCGAGCAAGTATCATCATAGCAAAACAGATTATCAGATTCATTTGCCATCACTACGCCATATGCGAAATCAAACATATCACAACAAAATTATACACACAGAAAAAAACCCATAGACGTTTTCGATTTTGCATGTCAATGTGAATCGAAAGAGAATCCTACATAATCTATCAATATAATACAAAACAGCAACAACAACTGTATGCATTCACCGTCGACATTTTAATCCAATGTGAGCAAAACATAATAGAATCAACATCTTATTTAAACTGGCTACACAGGTCCAACAACAGAACAACA